GCTAATGCAATCGGTTTTCATAACCAAAGAATTTCTGCACAAACTGTCAGAAACCGTATTAGGGAAGTTCATCTGCATGAGATACCGTGACGAGATCCTGAGGCCCATTGTTGTGCCATTCATCCACAACCATCACCTCATGTTGTAGCATGATAATGCACGGCCCCATGTTGCAAGGATCTGTACACAATTCCTGGAAGCTGAAAACATCAGGATACTCACTGGACATGTCACCCATTGAGCATGTTTGCATGCTCTGGATCGGCGTATACGACAGCGTGTTCCAGGTCCTGCCAATATTCAGCAACTTTGCAAAACCATTGAAGAGGAGTGGACCAACATTCCACAGGCCAGAATCCACAATCTGATCAACTCTATGCGAAGGAGATGTGTTGAACTGCAGGAGGCAAACGGTGGTCACACCAAATACTGACTGGTTTTCGGACCCCTCCCGGACTCCTCTAATACAGTAAAACTGCACATTTTAGAGTGGCCTTTTATTGTGGGCAGCCTAAGGCACACTTTTGCAATAATCATGCTGTCTAATCAGCATCTTGATATGCCCCACCTGTGAGGTGGATGGATTATGTCTGCAAAGGAGAAGTGCTCACTAGCACAGATTTAGACAGGATTTTTTAACAATATTTGAGAGAAATAGGCCTTTTGTGTACATAGAAAAAGTCTTAGATCTTTGAGTTCAGCTCATGAAAAATGGGGGCAAAAACAAAAGTGTTGCGTTTATAATTCTGTTCAGTGTATATCAGTGTTTGTTTCTGTGTACCTGCATGTCTGTCAGTGTGTGTATTGGTGTGTCTGTGTACATGCATGTGTGTCAATGTGTGTGTCTGTGTATCAGTATGTGTGTCAGTGTATATATGTATAAAAGTGTATCTGTACATGTGCATACATTTGGGCATTCAAACTCCAACACTACACACAAATACACAACCTCATTCAAAAGTCAATACTACAACAAACACAACTCTGTATTAAAACACCAACATTAAATATAAATACACTCCTACATTCAAAAAACCAACACTACATAAAAACACCCCACTACATTCAAAAGCACACACAAAACACAAGTACACCACTGCTTTCAAATGGCAACAGTACATAAAAAGCACACACTTGCATTCAAATGCCAACAGTGTACACAATACACCCCTACATTCACACACAAATAATTCATACAAAAACACGTTTAAGTTAGCAGTGCTAAATATAACCATGCAAGGATGGCCAAATGGTAGATTCCCAGCTGGCAAAGCATTATCATCTATTGTTTGGCCACCTTAGGGAACGTGGTGGGGGGAGGGGGGACAAGACAAAATATTCTTGCACCAGGGCCCTCTCTATGTTACTTCCACCACTGACAAAAGTTGTTGGTGATTTTATTTAAATGTTTAATTAATTGGTGTAATTTCCTTAATTGGTGTAATTTCCAGAAAAAAAAAGTGGGGATTCCCTTTTCAAAGACTTCATAAAATGCAAACCTTCTTTCTGTTGACTCCCTATTGATTCCCTGTCATTGGTCTCAGAAATAAATGGGCTTTTCCTCAGGACTATCTTGTTAATTTCTTTCTTAGACATTAGATAATTGATTTCATTCTCCATGGCTGAATTGTGTTTTATTCTTTTTTTTAACCAAGCAGAAAAAGGAGTAAATTTTAATTTATTCTCATTGTCTGGAGGACAGATTTACAGTCCATGCAATGCGTCAAAGCATTTATCTGAAAAGCAACATTAAAGTAGCACACCTTTTTTTACTACTGAGTTATTTGATTTATGTTCTCCGAGCAGATTCTAATTCTAATATATGCAGCCCTTTCAATGTGATAGACCTACCAGTGGAATGACCACATCACTAGGAATGACTTTAGTATGTTGACATTGTTGGGACAGTTCCCCATTCTAATTGGTAGTGGGAATGTATATAGGTGGGTGAGGGTTTACGTTTTTGATTAAAGGAACACTATTTAAATTTCTCCAGCAGGTCCAATTAATTGCTCTGCATCAAGGGTGCCCAAAAGGTAGATCTCCAGATGTTGCAGAACTACAGTTGCAGATTTATTACATCTGGGATCTACCTTTTGGGCACCCCTGCTCTACATAGATCATTAATGGGGACCAGATGGAATTAGCGGCAAGTGCCACATGCGTATTTAAGCTTCCCCATAGGAGAGCATTGTACTTATTTTTTTCCTATGGTTATACTCGGTCAGGTTAGTGGAAGCGCCTCTAGTGGCTATTGGGAAGACAGTTTTACATTGCCGGGTTAAAAGGACAGGGACACTGCACCCAGACCACTTCACTGACATAAATAACCTGAGTGTAACTTTAATTAAACAACTGAGTCTCTGTTGGTTGACACTCTCAGCCAATCACAGTTGTCCATTGTTGCTCGGGCTAATACTTCCTCATTAGCCAGAGCAGCACAGAGGGGATGGGCTGCTGGGGACTATCATTTAGCATTATTATTATTACTGGTATTAATATAGCACCAACTAATTCCGCAGCGCTTTACAATATTATGAAAGGAGGGAGGACATTTACAATAAATGAGACCAATTAAACAGTGAACAATGGGTAGATGAGAACCCTGCTCAGACAAGCTTACAGTCTAGAGGAGGTGGGGTATAAAAACACAACAGGGCAGCAAGGGTGACAGCCACCAAAGAAGGTGGAAAAGTAGCAGAGCTGGAGCTGAGAGTGGAGTATGGCTCTTTAGGAGAGCAAGAGACAGATATGGATAAGTATAGGTAAGTTACTCTGGGAGTCCATAAGCATTTCTGAACGGATGTGTTTTGAGGCACTTCTTAAACAACTGAAGACTAGGGGAGAGTCTGATGGGGTGGGCAGGCTGTTCCAGAGGAAGGGAGCCGCCCGCGAGAAGTCCTGCAAGCGCAAGTTAGCCGTAAGGGTGCGAGCAGCGAACAGGAGAAGGTCACCGGAAGAGCGGAGAGACCAAGAAATGTAAGAGGGGCTAGAGTTGGTTAGAGCTTTATAGGTAAGGGTTAGTATTCTGAATTGACACCTATAGGATACAGGAAGCCAGTGTAAGGATCGAGGTATGGGAGGAGCAACGGGTAAGAAAGATTAGTCTGGCGGCAGCATTCATTAAAACATAATAACATTAAAACGGTTTAATGCTGAATGAACTGTCAGGGGACTCCAGACAGTAAAACCAGTTTAATGAGATGAAGCAGTCACAATGCCTCCAGTGTCCCTTTAGGGGGATTAAAGACACATTAATGTGAGTTTTACTACTGTGAAACGCCGTTATGCACTCAGACACACCAAAAATGTGGAGCTCCTAGAACAGAAAGACATTAGGATAGAAACGCAGGACACAGGGACTTGGACGAAAAATAGGGATTGTCCCTCCTAAATAAGGACATTTGGGAAGTATGCAATCAGGTGGAGTAAGACGTAGGAAAACAGTTGGACCAAAACCAATTATTGATCATTCTTCAATGTAGATTAGTTTGCTTGTAACCTAGTAGAACTGCTCAGTACTGCAGAATCCATTAGCACTTTATAAATGATAACCATATGCTTTTTAAAACCATCCAGAAATAACTATTTGCAGATATTAAGACGCGAGGATAAGGTTTTCCGAACATATTACAAATTTTCATTGTAGTTTTATTTCCATTTTCAATTCAAAACAATATCCATTGGCTTTAAACATAGGTTGTAAACATTATATATCTTGGCAAAATATAACAGTTACTCCTGATTTATATACAGAAAGGCATTATTAAATCAGCTAGAAACAGGGATGCCTCTGTCAGTGGTAAAGAAGACGAGTGACTAAGTTGCATGACAAGTCCCCGACAGCCAAATACTATATTAGCTATTTTATGTGTTACAAATAAGCAGAGAACACAGTTAATATCCTGGGACAAAGATATTTACAGATATAATCCTGATGAGCTGTCTGACCCCATAACATTATCAGTCGTAGCCTGCAGACCACAACCAATTCAATTTCCACGAATGCTTAGTGTAAACAGGGAAACGCATAGAAAGAAGAATCAAATTATCGGACTGGTCATGTGCCCGGGAAACAGAATAATAATGTATTATTATCAAATGTTCAGATCATTGTCTCACGTGACATGAGGTCAACGTAAAGACTTTAAACAGGATCTTTCAGACAGACAAAAAATATAATCCTCCGAAAAGTGTTTATTTTATAGAAAGAAAATTAAAGTAAATGTCTTCCCTGTACATTACAAAAGCGACACCTAGTGGTATAATGTTGAAATAGCCTACGCTGCTTTCTAGAACCTTTTATGTGTCAAACTCAGTGGAAGCAATTCTTATCAGTTTACGTACAGTGCTATTCAGAACAAATGTTCCCACATAGTTTAAGGGATTGAGTTTGTTAGTTAGATGGTGATTATAAAAGCCAACTGGACTATTTTTCTGCCTCCAAATTCTATTGAGGGTGATTTTGGAAAGGGAAAATTATTTGTTTATTGTATCCTTGTATAATGGAATTTTGAAACTTACTAAAAAAAAAAAAAAAACTTGATAATTAGAAAACCAGACTTATTTTCGTATTACATTTACTTAGAATAATCTGATATGTTGCATTAATTTTAATTTAAAAATGAACATGACACACTGATATACCTTCATGTGTTCCACTTTACAAAAGACTGTCCCCCTTTTTGGGGTCCAAATCCTCCCTGTACCCCGTTTTACCCTGGCAGTCTCCCTCTTCTCTTACAGCTCAGATGTAAGGTTAATATGCATGAAATGCAGAATTCTATGGCAATAATACTCACAACAATGTGAAAGTAAATATGCCACCTTCATCCACACCCTCTATATACAAAATAATTCATAGAAACATAGAATGTGACGGCAGATAAGAACCATTCGGCTCATCTAGTCTGCCCAAATTACACTATGTTGGAAAATTGTTACATATAATTGACATCTTTTTCTAGCTTGTTCTTATGTTTTCCCTTTTCTTTCTCTATACCCCCCAAAAAATGGTCATAATATTGAAGTTAGGCATCACCCTAACTTGTTATTTTCCTTACTCATTAGTTTAAGGCATCTTCGCTTTTAGTTTGTATATTAAATATGCACGGTGGTAGCTATATAGCTATATATTTTTTTTTTTTTTTAATTCTTTATTTTTCAAGATGCTTTGTTTTAACAACATTCCACTGGGTAATTGGCATACATCATAAGATTTTAATACGTGTTGTGGGCTCACATGCAAAGTTCTGTGAATTCCTGTACTCCTAAGTAACTGCATGCTTTGCATTGTGTGATTGTGTACTTAGCATTTCTGATGGAACACGTGCATACAAATAGTGCAATGGCTATAATTGCCATTTCTAACTATACCAGCGTCAATGACCTGTAAGCTAGCATTTCCACATAATAAAATTATCTATACATCTGCTAGCAGTACGGGTTGCACAATATAGATAAAATATCATTTATCTACAAGGTGTCCCTGCTACATGATAAGTGTCCTCTGAATTCAGTTCCAATTGTGTTGTTTTTTTCCTTGACTTGTGATGAGTATTTACAAATGAGGGAAAAAATATATATTTTATTTTTTCCTCAATGCTGTTTAGAGACCTTTTTTATGATTTACATAATATAAAATAAAATTTAGGATTAAAGATCTGAAGCTATGGGCAACGTCGTAACCATGTACAACAACAGCATATTAAATCACTCCTTAGTTATCTATGATTGGTTTCGTAGTGTTCTTTTTTAGAATAATACAGTCCTAAAACAGACTGGTGCAAACTGTGCAGCAGTGACGGGTGACATCAACAAAGGTCAATGTGGAGTAATATTTTATTGTTTTCGTAAGCGAGATAATGCAGAAGAAACAAATAAAGTAGTGGTGGGAGAAAAGCAGAAATCGATGGAGAAAGAAAGCAAGAAAGTAATCAAAAACATTGAGACGAAATCCAGGCAGGGCTAGACTTGAGCACCAATGATGGTACGAACAATTAAATACCTTTTAATCTACGGCTCAACAAATTGATCTTTCCAGGATTTTCAAGTCCCGAACAAATTGATTTGTCTAGGCGCATATTAATTGGCATTCAATGTGTTCGTACAAGCTGAAACTCATTTGTGCACAAGTCTAGGCCAGGGTGTCACAGTTTAACCCTATCTCTGCAGACTGCCAGGAATGGCAACCCTTTTTGGAAACCTGGCTGTTCTGGAACTCTGTTCCTCATCATTTCCAGTCATTACATGATACAGTTTGTTTTTCTGTTTAGCCTCCATCTCTATGGGGCTGGACTCCTGCTGACTCACCTGCCGCTATTTGCCTCATATGTGGCACGTTAACTGGCTTTAAAGGGCTGCAAGTCATCAGCTTCAGTGTCAGTTCATTGTTTCAGTAACTGGAAGCATTCTACCAATTCCTGATTCTCTGGTTTTGTATCTCTATTTTGGAGTATCGTGAATGCATACTAGCTGCCGGCCCTGTCCTTTGAATTTGTCTTATATTCTGAGTTTGGATGTTCCGTGTCTGCACTGTGCTTCTGGGTCTTCTCTCCTGCACAGCCCCCATGCACATGTTCACTCTCCAGGTGATTTATTTAACTTGTCACAGTGGGCTGTGATATTTTGCAAGGGTGAGGATTATCTCTGCATTCTGGATTCCAACCCCAGGTTAGTCCTGGCATAGGGTATTCATAATACCAGTATTATTATGGTATTATAGCAATACCAGAATACTAGACTTCAAAAAAATAGTTTAGAAAATTTTAATTATGCAGATTTAATTTAAAGGGACACCGTACATTATAGTGCCTGCAGTCCTGCCCCCCCATCCAAAAACAATATTAAACTATTTAAAAGGCTTGGAAGTGTGGCTTCAAGTTACACATCCAAGCACTCTGGGTATGAGAGCCGGGAATCTTACTCCATGGCTCTCATACCATAAAATATTGTGAAGTCACAAACAGTGTCGTCATGGTCGGCCATAGAGAATCATGGATTACAATGGTTCTTTTTGAAAGAATTGTATGCTAACTGTGGTAAGTCCTGCGCATGCACCTACTTTGCCCAATGAGGAACTTTAGAATGGCCTGTCATTCTGGATGTACGCTTCCAGGATGACGTAATTTGAGAAGACAATGTGATTTATTCTTTTTTTTTTTTTTGCTGATTTATTTAACTGATAATGGGCCGCAGGGTGTTTGTCTTTATGACAGTGTGTGTATATAACTGTATGTATGTGTATTTGTCTGCGTGCATCTATAAAACTTTGTGTGTGTATCTATTTGAGTGTATCAAATAGTAAAAAATAAAACTTTGTGAGTGTGTGTGAGAATGTGTCTGTGTGTGTCTGTCAGTCTGTGTGTATGTTTAGGTCACCAGCTCTTCTCTTCACCAGCCTCTTTCAAACAGCGCGCCGGTCTCCCCGCGTCTGGCACCCCTCCATAGCAGAGATTATTAATCTTGATGATCTCAGCCAATCCAATGCTTTCCTATAAAGCATAGGGAAGCTATTGGGCATACACTGCAAAATGCTGCGCCAATTAGCATCTCCTCATAGAAATGCATTAAATCAATGCATCTCTATGGCGAACATTGAACGCCTCCATGCAGAGCGTGAAGACACTGCATGTAAGTGATGCACATTGTGCAGCACTGAGATAGGAGACACTTTAGTGGCCGTTTGAGTGACTGCCACTAGAGGTTTTACTAGGCAGTAATGTAAACACTACCTTTTCTTTGACAATGTAAACATTATCTTTTCTCTTTTCACCTAGGCAAAAAACTATTTGCCACCTCTATCCCATATGCCCTGCCCACCATGTGACATCACAATGACAGTGTTGCACACAGTGTTTTTTCTCTAAAAAGGCAAAGTTTTTACATTGAAATGCCTGCAGGAACAGGCTATAGACACCATAGACACTACATTAAGCTGTAGTGGTCCTAGTTACTATAGTGGTCCTTTAAGAAATGTATTTTTGTCATTGAAAAAAACTGGCACCTAAGTTTTTTAGCTGGCTCCTATATTCAAAGCAAATTTGTCAAGCCCTGCCTTACTCTACAGTGTTCCTTCAAGTGGATAAAATAAAACAATGTTTCAGGTAACACAGGGTCACTCCTAAGCCTGTGTGATAGAATACAATGTTCTGGAGTATTTTCCAGTCATGGATAAAATCACAATCTCAGACTATTAAAATTTAGCAGAGAGATGGGGAAACGGGGACATAGACCGCAACAATGACGTCCACACGGTAGCATAACAGCCCCCCTGGGCCAGTTCTGGGGTTAACCTAAGCGACTATATACACTCCTCCCCATATACTAGCGTTACGCACCACAGAGGACTGACAGAGATCTCTACTGCACAACCTACCTGACCCCAGCCTGTGACATCCTTGCATGTATAACGGGTAATTGTGTGATTGTAACAGCAGAAACAGAGATGAGGGGGAGAGATGGGACTGTGTAACTATAACTGTGCAATACCTTTCATTACCTCACCACCATTTCTCTTCTGTATCCCCTATCCCTCATCTTGTATACCACATTGTAGTAAACAAAATGAACCATAAATAAAGAATTAAAAAAATAAATAAAAATTTAGCAAGAAGTGATATTCGCAGGAACCAGCTGGTGAGAATCTCTCTGCTTAAACAAGCCTTTTTACAGCAGACGTTTTCAAACACATCTAAACAAATTAAATGACACTACTTAGATCCAGAATCTATGTGTATAAAGGCTAGCAGCAAGTATGTGTTTTTTTCCTTTTGCATTACAATTACTGAAAGTGCAGCCAGCTCTAGATGGACCACTGGGTAACCGAGGCAACTTGCGCAGAAAAAAGATGGGCCACTGGGTAATCTAGTAGACTGGTAAGGAAAATAAAATGACTGCTGGGTAACATAGACGACAGGAGAAGAGGGCAGATAAATTGCTGGGTGCGGGAGAGGAGGGCAGATAAATTGCTGGGTCCTGACAGCAGGTGGACCACTGGGTAACCTGGGCAGATAGTCTACTGAAAAAGCTAGTCAACTGATGAGGAAGGCAAATGGGCCATTTAGTGAACTAGTCAACCAGTAAGGAAAGCTGTTGGGTAACCTTGGTGGCTGGTGAGCAAAGATGGATTTCTGGTAAACATAGGGACTGGTGAAGAGGGTAGATTAACGCTGGGTAATCAAAGGGATTGGATAGGGTGGCTGGGCTGAGAAGCCATACGCCAATCAGACAAATTATTGGCTTTATAGTATCATTTTTATATATCTCTTAGTTTGGTAAGTTTGCATGCTCAAGATGCCACATTCATCACATGGTGATTCTTTTTCATTTATACTAAGCAATAAACTGTTTTAGAGATGCCGATAACATGAAACATACAGTGGGACATCTTCTATATGTTTTGTATTATCGCACATGACTGAGAATATGGGGGTGAAGTGACTATTCAGTGGGTATTCACTTACCTATATGAAGCATATGTGTCATTAGAAATAAAACATTTAAAAATACATTGAGGACCTAGTCACAGTATCAATATATCATATAAAGTAGAAATGCTGCAGGCACTCAGTGGGTTCTAATTTAAGGCAGTTTTATTGGGACCAAAATACAACAGAGCAACGTTTCGACCAAAACAAAGTCTTTGTCAAGCTCAGCTTGCCAACATTAAAGTGGCTCTGTCACCTCAAACTTACCTTTCTCCCATTGTTTCATATTCTTCTTCTCTTTCAGAGCCTGTTGTTCTGTTGTTCTTCATTTCTGACTTTATCTTATGTGTTTTTCCTATGCTTGAAAAGCTAGACAAAGGGTAGCTCCACTTCCTTTGTTAACCTGACAAATTGCCTTAAGCTCCCCTCGATAAAGTATACCCTATTTCCTCTTTATGTTTTTAGCAGCTTGAGAAAGATGTCTTTGAGATTGAAAAGTTGCACTTTTACCAAATAAATTTGCTGCATAACTGACTCTTAAAGGACCACTATAGTGCCAGGAAAACATACTCGTTTTCCTGGCACTATAGTGCCCTGAGGGTGCCCCCACCCTCAGAGTCCCCCTCCCGCTGGGCTCTGGGGAGAGCAAGGG